ATATAGATACTCTCAATGGTAAATTAATGGAATTAGTTGATATTATGATTCATAGAAAGATTAATATTTAATGTATTCAAGAAACTAAATGAGTTGGAGAAAAGACTAAGGAAATTGATAACTTAGGTTTTAAACTTTGGTATTCTGGTAAAAGTCGCAATAGAAATGGTGTAGGTGTAATTATAGATAAGAGTTTGAAAGATAATGTTGTAAAAATTAATAGAGTTGGAGATAGAATTATAGCCCTTGAGATCATCATTGATACTAAAATTTTTAATATTATAAGTACTTATGCTTCTCAAGTGGGTATAGATATAGGATCTAAAGATAAATTCTAGAATGACTCAGAAGACTTAATCAAATGATACCTCTTGAAGAAAAAAATTTTTATTGGAGGAAATTTAAATGAACATGTCGGTAGTGTGGTAGAAGATTTTGGAAATATTCATGGTGGCTTCAATTCAGGAGTGACTAATGAAGAAGGTAGAGCTATTTTAGATTTTTTTTAAGCGTATGATTTTGTTATTACTAATACTTTATTCAAGAAAAGAGATGAGCATCTTATTTTTTATAAGAATGGATCTAATAAAACACAAATTGATTATTTTTGTATGAGAAGAAGAGATCGTCAAGATTGTAAAGATTGTAAGGTCATTCCAAGTGAGGATTTAAGTGCCCAACATCGTTTATTAATTCTAGATTTTAAGATGAAGAGTTGTAAAATAAATAATACTATGACTCATCATCGTAAAATTAGATGGGGGAACTTAAAAGACACATATATAATTATATTTATGAGTACAATTCAAGATTTCAAAATTTAGAATGTTCATGATGAAGTAAATGCTATGTGTGATAAAATGTCATGTGTGATAAAGTAACAAACACTGTTAAACAAGTAGTAAAAGATGCACTAAAAGAATCAAAAGAAAAATTTTTTTTAAATAAAAATAGTTGGTGGTGGAATAATAATGTGTAAGAAAAGATAAAATATAAAAAGTTATGCTATAAAAATTAGTTTAAATGTAGAAGCTTAGAGAAGTGGGAAGAATATAAAATGACCCGTTGGGAATCTAAAAGAACAATTTGAGAAACTAAAAATTCTGCCTTTAGTGATATTTATAATAGATTATATACTAAGGAGGGTGAAAAATATATGTATAATAATCTAGCCAAACAAAGAGAAAATAAAAGTAAAGTTTTAACTCAAGTAAAGTGTATTAAAGATGAAAATCAAAAAGTGCTTTTCTTAAAAAAATATTCAACATAGGCGGGCGAGTTATTTCGATAAATTTTTTAATGAAGTTTCTGAAAATACGATCCTGAAAATACATGAAGTTTCTGAAAATACGATCGACCTTAGTGATCTTAATATGATTAATAATAATAAAACGTTTCATTTTTACCATCACATTAGTAAAAAAGAAGTTGAGGAGACTTTAAAGAAACCCAAGGGTGAAAAATCTGTAGGACCCGATGATAACCCAATTGAAGTATAAAAATGGCATTGATAAATGTTACATTTGTAAAAGCTTAAGTGCACATGTTAGATGTGTTAATATTATTTTAAAAACTAAAAAGATGTCTGAGAGTGGAGGAAGAGTATTTTGGTCCTCATTTTTAAGAATAAAGAGATGCACAGAAGTGTGCAAATTATAGAGGAATTAAGTTGATGTGTCATACTTTAAAATTATGGGAGAGGGTAATGAACATAGGGTAAGACATCTTACAAAGATTTCTCATAATCAATTTAGATTTATGTCGGGCAGGTATACCATAGAAGCTATTTATTGAGAAGTTTGATCGAGAAGTTCAGAGATAATAAGGAAAATTGACATTTGATTTTTATTGATTTAGAAAAAGCTCCCGATAAGGTTCTAAGAGATATCCTTTGGAGAGTTCTTGAGAAGAAAGGTGTTGATTTGACTTAAATTCAAGTCATTAAAGATATGTATACTAGAGTTGTTACTTGTGTTCGAATTCAAGGAGGATTGACCAAATATTTTCCTATTTCTGTTGGATTACATCAGGGACCAGCTTTAAGCCCATATCTTTTTGTTTTAGTTATCAATGGTCTTACTGGATATTTATAGGAGGATGTACCTTGGTGTATGTTTTTTGCTGATGATATCCTTCTCATGGATAAAACGAGAGAAAAAGCCCATGAAAAACTTGAATTATGGAGGTCTACATTGGAGTCTAAAGGTCTTCATTTGAGTAGAACTAAAACAGAATATATGAAATGTAATTTTATTAGTAGTAGTACCTCTAGTGACAGAAGTGTAACTTTAGTTGATCAAATTATTAAAAGGTGTGAACGATTTAGATATCTCGGGTCTGTTGTTTAAATCGATGGTGATATAGATGGGGTGTTAATAGTAGAATTCAAGTTGGTTGGTTGAAGGGGAGGAATGGTTCAGGCCTTTTGGTGTGATAGAAAAGTACCGCTTAGACTGGAAGGAAAATTTTATAAGATGGTGACGCTGAATGTTGGCCTTTAAAAGAGATGCATAATACTAAGTTAAGTGTTGCCGAGATGAGAATGATTAGGTGGATGAGTGGCTTTACACTTAGAGACAAAATGCAAAATGAATATATCCGTGATAGGGTTGGTGTAGCTCATTTGACGGACAAAATTAGAGAAAGTCGTCTTTAGATGGTTTGGTCACATTAAGTGTCGACCATCTGATTTTCCAATTAGGAGAGTAGATGTTTTAGATTCAACTTATGTTAAGAATGACAGAGGTAGACCTAGGAAGACTTGGGCTTATTGCATGGCTGTGTACGGGTATTTTCTGGCCAGTTCAAATTTTGATTTCTACAAAAAATGTGCAATCTTCTAAACTCAGATTAAGGGATGTGAATGAGTGTGTTGAGTTTTTCTCAAGTTTCCCTATCTTCTTGTGATGCGCATATTTTTTTGTAGAATCCACTAAGCTCAAATTAAGGGTTGAACATAGCGTGTACATATGTTTTTTTGGTAAGTTATTATTTTTGGTGTTGCACAATTGTGTGTAGCCCTTCAAACTTAATTAAAGGTCGTGTATATGTCTTTTGTGGGCAATATTATTTTTTAGTTTCTCTGTTGTACATAGTTGTGTATAGACCATTAAACTCAATTTCAAAATCTTACACAACGGTTTACAAGTGTTGTTTGGTTATTTTTTTCAATTTTTTTGCCGTACACAATTGTATACACGCCTATAAACTTAAATTAAGGGTTTTACACAACCATACATATATATATTTTTTAGAAATTTAATTCAGTTTTTGATGGTGTACAATATTGTGTACAATTCTTTAAACTCAATAGTAATGCTTGTACACAGTTTTGTACATATTTTAATTTGAGGATAGCAAATATGCATTGTTCATTTCAAAAGTTAATTTTACTATTGTCGAATGGTATTAAATTTCACCATAAAAGAAGAACGAAATAAGATTTTAGTAACAAGTTCTTCTTCAAAAAGGAAACCAGTCCATATCTCACGTAGTGGCATAGGGGCTATTTGATTTGCTGAAAAGAATGTAGTGTAAAAGAAATTTAGTTAAAAATAAATGAAACGTATTGAAAAGCAAATATGTTTGTTTGGATGAATACATTGCAAATGCATAAATTTGTAATTTTGTGTTTTGGTGGGTATGCTACAAATATAGCGTAAAACTCTTGAGTGGCTGTTGGTGGTGATATCGTCCTAGTGGAGGTTAGCGGTGGAGTAATTATGGTGGGTGACAGGCTAGTGGTTGTCGGCTAATGTGGTGCGCAACGGTTGACAGTGTTGATAGTGTCGGCAGCAGCGACGCAAGGGTCGTTGCTATGGCTACAATGGCGGCACAAATGGGCTTAGTTCGCAATAAATTTGGAATTTGCCTAAATTCGGCTATTTGAAATAGACCGAAAATGAACAAAAAATTGCTTTTGAAATTCATTGTAATTTTACATTACATTCCAATTTTCTCAAACGAAACACCCAAATTTTGCAAAACCCAAGCCTTCAGAATGCAATACCCCTATTTTTTTGTAAATAAGATAGGCCCTTAGTAAAGATATTAATTACACACATAAAATCAATGATTGTCTGATTTTAAGAGACAGAAACCGTGATAGAATTGTCCTAAAGTGAAGAATCATGCCATGTGTCTACCTCACACTTGTGAAGCATTTGAATAATACTTCTAACAAGCACACACATAAAAGAGAGGAAATGTAGATTTATATTTTCAATATTTGTTGCTCAATATTGTTTTTACAACCCTCAGGAATCCTATTTATATGCTGTAAAAGATCTAAAATTAGAAATCACGCAAAACCTATACAAAAATTACTCAACATAACATACTTAGATTAATATTTGCAGTATAAATTCCTCCATAATTCCTATTACATAATTGCAATGGGAATCTAACAAAAATGGTAAAAAATTATCTTAAATAGAGAGACGATAGAATGGCAGCTGTTAATCAATGGTGGTGAGGGTTCAATACTGGAACTGGAAACAGTTGGAGGCATATGGCAGCACAATGGAAATAGTGGGAGCCAAAAGGTTGGAATATGAGACAGCTAATGTGGGTAGCGGAGAAGTGGCATTGTACCTGATGCTCTGTATTCTTACAGCTTATCATTATTTTTACTGTTGTTTATCTTTATTTGATATCTATGCCTTGATGGCCTATTACTAAAGCATGACACGATCCATAGCACTATCTGTTAGTTAACTTGACCAAATTTGTGCATTTGCTGTTTGATCTCCATTTTAGTCGGAGTTTGAGGTTCTGGCTATTTTCATTAAAAGAAAACGAAATTTAGAGGAGATTTCATCATTGCAAAACAATTTCTCCAAGGGTTGTCTACAGTACCCATAGCATCTCACTTTTAGCACTTCTATGGTTATTATGCATGAATCACATGCTGGAGAAATAATATAAAATAACTCTAGAATTTTCAGGCCAACTAGCTAAAAAAACAAAGGCTTTTCTAATTAGCCTCCTTTCAATTGCAGATGAGCATGAGGATCAATTGCGCTCTGATGATTTAGCCGCCTTTAAAATTGTAAGTTTTTTTCTCATTAATCACCAAAAAGCTCTTTAATATGTACCCAACCTTTGCTATAATTTTTTTCTTTTGGTTTTGTGCTTCTCTCCTCTTTTCTTTAATACCATTACCATTATCTTGTTCTTCTTAAAAAAATGCTAAATTTCTTTATTATCTTTTTGGGCAGAGAGAATGTGAGGCAGATATAAATATGGAGGCACTAGCCATTATTCCAAAAAGCGAAACAAAGCTTGTTATTGAGCAGTTGCTTATGCAGGAGACTTTTACGAGGTAGCTTAAAGTACATTGTGTATTTATATCAGGTTTTTAGCACTTCAGGTATAGAAGTACTTTTCTTCAGTGTTTATCTTTGTTATGCTCATATAATTTTCTTCATTGAAGACCTTTCCCAGGGATGTGCAGGAGAAAAATATATTCAAAGCACTTCTATTTATATGAACGAATTATTAATATCCTAATTTTGTTTATGTTTTTTGAACATGTATGATGTATATTAGCATGATGGAAACTAATTCCATATTATTGGTCTAATATTTTTATGAGTTCAATGCTTCTGTTGATTAAACTATTGCTGTATTAGACAATTGTTCTTTTCTTATAATCCATGCAACTGGCTGGATGAAGCATCTGCTTATTTGCTGTTACACAGCTATTGACATGCTTTGCTCTTTCGCCTAAAATATTAGCTTCTTTTTTTCATGTAGAATATGAGCCGTGTTGAATTGCATATTTTCCTAACTATTAGAGAATAAGTGCATACAAGTTTCCTTCTTTTTCAGTCTTATGGACAATTTCATGTACTAAACTAGTGCTTCTTCTCAATGTTTTTTACCAGAGACGAATGCAACAAACTGGTTGAGATAATTCAATCACGGGTACCATACACAAATTCTATAGAAATCGGTGAGGGAACGCAAAATGCGGCGCCAAATTTGAACCATGACAGGAATCTCTATGGAATATCCAATTTCTCTTCCAGAAGTTTATCTCCCTTTTCTCCACGATTTTATACCCAGGAAGCAGTTTTTTCTGATCTTCGCAACAAAGCTGTTATGGAGGCAAAGAAATGGTTTGAAGAGAAAAAACTGTCTCCTAGTTCTACATATGATCAAAGTTATGGGACTTCCATTTCGAACACGCTCATGAATCAAATTGTTAGTACTTATTCTTTGTCTTGTTGATGCTTTGCGATATCTCCCTTTAATGGTCTATAGTTGTTATAGGTTTAAAGTGCATTTGATGAACACAGTTGCTGCCAGTTTTTAATTATCAACAAATAAGCAGTGATGGTAAAACGTATTTAAATTTTTCCTTTGCATTTATTTGGAGTTAAATGTGTTTTGCAGCCTTTGGAGGAAGATGTTGGTTCACCAATTGAGATGGCTAAATCTTACATGCAATCGTTGCCTCCATGGAGATCTCCTTCCTTCAGCACCAATGGCCTTATGACGACACCTTCACGTTTGAGTAGTGCCGGCAATTTTGGAAGTCATTTGATTTCTACATCAGAGGTATTTATGGAACAACTTAATAAGAATATGTGAGATATTTCTGAATTTTATACCATTATTATGGTGGTAAGGTAGCTTGTTAATGTAGAAATCTTTTCCTATGCCCTTCATCTATTTTCTCTTCCACTACTTCCCCATTCTATGAGCAATGGCTCTTCCTCTTGCGGCATTCTGCAAAATGCCCTTCTTCATGCCTCTTCCTCCAATCGTATTTTCTTGTTATGACCTTTCTTGCAAACTTGGAGGCTTCTGTAATCCTGAGGTTGTACAAATTATCCTTTCCTAATAGGCGGTTTCCTTTGTCACAACCCTAACATGATCATAATATTATTATCCAGGCTACACCTTGATCCATATTTAATAAATATTTCAACACAGCAACAATTGGGCGTCTAAATTCAAAACATGAAGTTTATCTTAATCAAAACAATAATTAGGGCGTCTAAATTCAAACCATAATTATAGAATCCATCCATCAATTACACGCCATCCATTGGTCCTTATAAATTCTATTCTTGATTCACATAATCATTTCATAAGCTAGATTTTAAATATCATTGAGCATAAATAAGCCTGATAAATTCCTCCTACATAAACATTGTGACAAAGTAGGAGAGGTTTTAAAATTCCTTTAGTAGATTAAAGAAATCCTGAAGATGCTAAGAAAAATAATCATTTTAATACATAAATTTGGTACATATACAGAAGGGCTTAGCTTTCATATTTCATTGAGCATAAATAACGCTTATAAATTCCTCCTACACAAACATTGTGACAAAGTAGTAGAGGTTTTAAAATTCCTTTAGTAGATAAAAAAAAATCCTTAAGATACTAAGAAAAATAATCATTTTAATACATAAATTTAGTATATATACAGAAGGTTTTAGCTTTCATATAATTATAGAGTGTAGCTCTGAGGGTTTGATGTGCAGTCTTTTGTAGATGTAGTGTTAGCAAATTCATAGTAGAGATAAACTATGATATATGTACAGCCCTAAGCACTTACAAATAATCACAACCGTCTCTATTTTCATTATGCTGAACAATCCTATTAATTATAGTAAGCATGCAGCCTATGCATCTGATCTGTGACTAATAAAACAAATTGTGATGCATGCAAAGAAGATGCCTAATGAAATGAGTAGGAATAGTTTTAAATGGGACTTCCAGTTAGTCTTAATGATGGAACTAGTCTTTTAGTAATGTTACAATCTCTTTAATGGCCAAATTTTATTTCATTTTTCACCAGTATCTTTCTCAAGGCAAAAAAATGGGTTTCCAAAATATTAGATGATCAAATAAGATGTTTTAGAAAATGATTGGTATCTCTTTAGGGGACAATTGTTAATTTATTTTTATTTTTTAATTCTTGATTCTATTTTTTGATTGAAAGGTAGAGTGGAAGTTGTTGATAAGGCAACCTGCCAAGTTGATTCCAAATGCATTCAATTTTGTTGAGCGGCTAGTTCAGTTCAAATGTTCCTTCAAATTTCTTTAATAATGGAGTTAAAATGTGAAGTGAAGATCTAAATTAAGTAATGGCTTGATAAGTTGGTGGACTTCTCTGTTAATTTGGTCAAGGTTAAATTTTGGGAGCCGTAATAGGTTATAGTTACAACTTAAGCAAGCATTAGCCGCACAATCTTAAATTCATGTTTCAAAAATTTAATTTTATCTGAATTTTGATTTTTTTTAATTACTTTTTGCTGCTTTCTTACATTTATAAATAGAAAGTCAATGATTTTGTAGAAAAAATTTACTTATTAAATATAAATTTTTTCTTCTGGAGTGGAAACTTATACATTTTTTTGGATGCGATATTATCGTTCAAGTACGAGACTTGATTTTTAGATTTTTCTTTTACTCAATACTTATTTATTTACTTATTGCCATCAAAATGGAATTTGATTTAGCTGTATCTGTGAAATAGCTTATATTCTATTTGTGTGAATGAAATGTAGATCTGTTGTATTTCTATATTTTCTCAAATTATTTTGGTTTAGCCCTCTTTGGATATCCATTGCTTTTCACATGGTTATGTCTTCTTTCTATTTTTTACCATTCAACATTATTCAGACAATTTACTCTTGAATCTTTGTATTTTGCATGAATATATATGTATGCTGTCGTATTAGATTGCTTACATTTGATAGAGAGTGGCTGCAACCGTATCAATATTAATGTAGCATTTTTCCTATCAAATTGTTTTACGGATTCCAAATTCTTATCGCTTTCTACACTGTTCTTTCAAGGGTTTTCTACAAGCAAAATTTACAATGTTTTTATCTTTCTTAGGGCCTCCTGTTTGGTGCTCTTCCTGAAATTCCTCTTATTTAGAACATGATGATCTGAGCTTTGCTATAACATAAATCTTAAAGAAGATTTATAAAGAAGATTTATACAACTTTAATTTTAGGATAAGAGAAACACAGGAGTGTTACTATAGATATAACCACTGATTTGTTGATTTAATGCTACAAATTTGAGTATACATTCCAATTATAACACACCGTAACTTGGCTCTGCGTTGAAGTAGCATCATCCTCATTATTATCAATGCATCATTTTATTGTTTCAAACATCAACATTGTTAATGTTTTTTTATTTTTTCATTGTTTTCTTACAAGCAAAATTTCCCAAAATATTTTAACCTCATTGGGAATTCCTATCGAGTTCTTCTCTTCAAATTCCTCTTATATTGAACATGATGATATGAACTCCACCATAAATATTAAAGAAGAATTGTAGGTCCTTTTTTTTTTCATAACAGAAATCTTGGAGTGAATTAAAGATACACTCTACAACGAGGTCTACATTGAAATTACAGCAGAGCCAGAGTAACCAAACAGGCCAACATGCATCATGAAAGGTAGTACTGATATTTGGGGAAAAACTATTTGCAAGGAAATGAGAGAACCAGAGCAGATTTCCAATTTTTAAACCATGAATCATTGACAACTTTAGATAAATGATGCATTTAAGATAATGATCCTCATTAATTGTTTTGGTTCTCAAAAAATAAATCCCTTCATTGATGGACGCAATGCCATTTAATAGGAAATTTCATTGATAAGTTGAAGTGAGGTTTGAAATTTTTTTGGGTTGTTACAGATTCTATTGTGTGTAAGACTTGAGATACTGTGTAGCATCAACTAGGAAGTAAAAGAGGAATGCTAAAGGAAATATGGTTAGAATTTGTGCAAAAGATTTGCAAAAAATAAAGCTTAACAGCTTTTGCAATCAACGATAATTAATGATGAATGAGGATTGATTCAGTCAACCCCACTTATTTGTGAAAAAAATTGTGATCACGAAGAAAATCATGTTAATGCGTGCATGCTTCTATTTTTTTGTTTGCATGATGCTTCTTTTCTAGATTGTAACAGGCCAACTAAGATGTAAATCAATTTGTTAAAAATTGCTGTAAAAGTTGGAGGGCTTAAATTAATTTTGGATGTTTGTTAACCTATTTTTGGTGTTAAGCTTTCTAGCAACCTTCCAGATATTATGGCCATTTTATTGATGCTACGTGACTTATTCTAGTCAGAAGATGAAAGTGACCATCTTGGGGAACGAATTTTAAAATTTTCCATTGCAGTCTGAAAATATATTATAATATGAATACTATATAAATCTTTTTTTTGAAAATTCTCCTTTTATTGTGAAATCATGAGCATGTTGCAGAGAATTTACATAGTCGCTCCTATTCATTTTTAATTCATTATCAACACGTCTTTGTGTAAATCTGCATGTAGCTTAAGAAAAGGGATTACCTTGCCATTGGATCTTCTAACTTGGAAGAAAATCAAAGGACTTATCTGAATTCATTGGATAATGAACAAGCGTTTTCTAAGTTGGATCATTCTAAGTTACTCTCCAGGCTTTCTGTACATGAAGCTTCTACAATACCATCTGCAGTTGAAAAATGTTTCAATGAAGTTCAAGGTATAACTTGGAGTTTTCTACGTTCTAAATTGTTATTCATATACTTTCTATTTGGTGATGCGTCTGGTGGAGACAATTTTTCACATAAATCTCTTGTGATACAAGATGGAAATGCTGCTGGGCCTGACCAATTGATGGAGGCAGATACTAGCATTTCTGTAGGAGCCATTTTGCAACCCCAAGATGTATTTAAAGAGTCACTGGAGGCACCCAAGGTAAATCATGTTTGTTATGTTTGCTTCAATAGATGGATGGACTGCAGATATTTGCTTCCTCTCATGATCTTGAATCGATAGAATTGATATTTTTGGATTTTGTAGCTGTTTTCAAGATACTGACATGGACTAATTGTGTGAAGAATGATGAAATGACTTTGCCATCCGAAGAGCAGATTGGCGGTATTTCAGCTCCGGAGGATTCTCTTGTTTTTGCTTCAATAGCTGACAAGAATAATGGTGATTACTCATAGTACTTTAGTATGGAATTCATTTAACACACCTTAGCCCTTATTATCAAATTAACTGTTATTTCTATGTTTTCATTTTTCTTCAGGAGATGTGATTCCAGAAAATGAGACTTTACAGCTTGAGAGTATTACCCCTGCAGAACCAAGGTACACCATTTGTTGCTTCTTACAGAGAAATATGGAAATTTCAGTGAAGCATGGTAGCTATAAAAAGTTCTTTGGTGTGGAATAGTTTGTTTGGTTGGAACTTAAACATTGTTTGCAATCCCCACAAAACCTTGATAGGATTTTCTTTATATTTAAGAAGGCTTTCTTATCGTGCCTTTTATCTGGTATCTTTTTGCATCAAAGTGTGGTTTATTTAGTATGCCTGTCTCCCTTCTGTTTTACTCTTTATTTTAGTTATTCTAAAATCCTTGTAAAATGTCCATAAAAACCCCCTTCAGTTAAATTGCAGCATTAAGGGGATTCTCTCCCAACCATCAGCCTCTTTTAGTTGCATAAAATTCTCCCTCTCCCTGCCCTAAACTTCTTTATAATATCATATATAACTATGAAAATTTCCAATTTTCTTTAATGCGAACAATTCAATCCATCTCATGGAATATTAGGTCTTCTATCAATGGAACAAATTTGAGATCCTGCCGACTCCACCCATCTCTCCTTAACCTTAATTATCCATGTATCTCTTGATTAATCACAAAACTTCCATCAATCCCTGGAAGTCTTGCTCTTGATGCTCATGCTATTTTCTTAACAATAGTAACCGAAGCTATATAACGGCCTTGATACCATCGTTTTCATGCTTCTAATTAAAGGAAAATCATCTCTTCTATGATGGTTGGCTTGCAAATCATTTAAAGGATTCCATATGGATAAAAGCTGCAAAATTGTATGAAATTTAAGTTTAAATGAAATGAATATATACCACAATATGTTTAAGGTTTCTTCTTATGCCAAAATTTTTTGAGAAGCCTTTTAAAAAAAAAAGATGCCAAAATTTTTTGAGAAGCCTTTTAAAAAAAAAAAGATTGTGAGAAGCTTATTTTTTTGACTGTGCTGTTTAAAGAAGCGGGAACATGCCAACCACTAAAAAGCTTGGTCTCTTTTAATAGTGTAACAATATAAGATTTTAAATCACCATCTATATGACACTCATCAATACAAGCAGCAACTTTGTGGAGTAATTCAATGTAATAATGTCAAAATCATAACGTTCTTTTATTATTATTAAAATAGTTATGGCGGGCTTTTAGTTTACCTTTCTGACTTAACCTGAAAATGTGATGCTGGTTACTGTGTTAAAATTATAATAATTTTAAATAAAAATTTTGAAAATTTCTTAAGGCAAATGATTGAATTCTTCTTAAATTTAATAATTCAGCTTGAAATTGAATGCGTGTTTATTTAAACTTGGTATATTTTTTTGAGAAAGATTTATTTTTAAATCTTATTAAGAAATGCAAAATAAAATTGTGATGTTGGCCTCAAGCTAGATGAAGAAAGTTGAGAATTTGTATGGCTAAAATAAATATTATATAAATTATATATTTACCCTTCAAAGAAACTTGTTATTCACTTTTAGCTTGCAAAGCTTCTATCATCATTTATGTTTAATTTCTACTTTTTCCTTAATGTTTAGGCACAAAACATTTCTTCCTCCTGATTTGAAAATAATGCTGATTATTTCACAATGGCATTTGTTTTTATTTTTTTGTTCTAGCATAACTAAAAACTCTGGTGACCAAGTGGAGTTCCAGGCCATCAATTCTATGCAAGTGGATCTTGATGCTGCTTTTAACAATCCTCACCCAACCACTGGTATATTTAAATTTTTCGTTCTCCTTACTGAATTGTCCTTTTAGCCATTCTACTTGTGGAATTTCCTTCGGCAAAGACTTGATTTTGTAGTGGCATTTCTAATGTGTTATTGTAAATTATTCAGTTATTGAAATTTAATATGTTTCTTTGTTTACCATTACTGAGCGGCTTATGGTGCTATAATTAAAAAATCATATATATTAGTTGGTTATTACACCTATACCCATACAAAACATCCAATCATTTTCATCCCTTTTACGCATCTCATGTTTTCATGAAAGCAGCCCCCTGTTTTCGGAATAGTGAGTGGAACTCACAAAATATATAACTTGAATTCACGCTATTGAATGTACAATCATCTCCTTTAAGCAATTGACCGTGTGTCTGTTTGCTTCATGATGGCCCCCCTTGTTTATATTTTCATCGTTTTTACGCTTTAAGTCCTGTTTCTTTTGCATTCACTATATACAGATTCAGAGCCCCCAAATGGGAATCCTCAAATCCAGGAAGAACCAGTTGGACCATCAGAAAAATTCGAAACCAGCAGGTAACCTTCATTCATCAGTATATGATTCTAACCACCACGTCGATTCAATTTGTATTGAGTCGAGTCTTCGATCTCGTGCAGCAATTTGGCAGAAATGAGCAAGGGAGATCCAACTACGACCAGCGCAAGCTATGGCGGTGGTCCTGCAGCGAGTTTCTCAGAGGGTGACCTCGAACCGACGAGCGATGTTTCCATTGGCATCCGTAGAACTCGAGCCAGCAGAAATGCCAGCAAGGTTAAACCTGTTGAGCCAATGCTTACCGACCCTCCTGAGCCGAGCAGAGGCAAGAAGCGCAAAGCTAAAAAGGTTGTTAAGCAAAAGAAATGGAGGGGCTGAGAGATGACCTCATAACCCTACTAATTTAATTTTATTTGTCAGCTTAGGAAGTCTAACTTGTGACAATATTTATGTGGTTCCCATTGTTTGGATGTTGGATGAAAGACATTTAGTCGATGTACATTGTTGGGATGGGAATAGTTGATCACATAATTGTAGTTGTCTTGTATAATTTTTTTTTTTAATGTTACATTAATTATTTGGAAAATTTGGCTTGGCTTTGCTTTAAAATATGTACAAGTGGAGTTTTTTTTTTCATAAATCGTGCTTACCATTCTTAGAAGCTTTCTGAAAATTTAGGTCTCAAAATGGTTGGCTTGCCTTTGTGTGGAGTTTATTGATTTTTTAAAATAAGTTAATTTCAGATGCCTGCTTGTTTCTAAATCTTAGTTTAGTACCAGTGGCGGCCTTATTTAATCAGAATTTAAGTGCTGGCGAAAATTACCGGTGATCTCCAATCAACTATTTTTTTTTTTTTTTTTTTTGTAGCAAATGCTTTTCATCTGTTCGTATTTCAAATTTATCCCATGAACAGATCTAAATGTAAAGGGGGAGTATATTGATTCTTTTTCTAAAAATAACAGTATTGCCATGCACTTCATCATGTTGAAATATAAAAAAAGGAAAATTCAATTACGTATCACTCAATACTTATGTATTTACATATATAGCATCCAGAATTTATGTACATACCATCTTACTTTTGCATGAAAATATTCATTTCATTTTTTCCAAGTTAAATATGGTAGTATGTTTTATGTTATATGAAAGATTTGGATAGTATAAATGTATATTTCTTAAAAAAGGTTTTAGAAATGTAAATTAAAATAGGGGATTGAGTGGTATATATGCAAATGCAAAGTCCAAATGAAACTGGAAATCTTATTGGAAATGTAGAAGCCAAAGAGCGGCGTAGGAAAGGAAAGATAGGAGGTAGGTAGGTAATGAAGTGACCTCAATTCACCAAATTCAAGCACGCAATTAGAAAAGAAAACAAAAGAGTCTTCTCCCAACTACCCTCACCTCATGGAGATAAAGATGATAAAATATCACCAAGAAACTAAAGGAGGACTTGATCAACGGACAGGACTACTTTGCCGGTGGTAACGTGGCGAATAAACATCTGTGAAAAATAAATTGGGTCAATTTAACTACTAAATTATTTAATTAGCCCATCCGAGTCTGTTCAACCATATTTCAGAAATTGTTATTATAATTATTATTATTATTATTTTTCTGTCCTATTAACTCTAGAATGAATATCTTTCTTCGCCTCTTGTATACCTTCAAGAAAATATTAAAATACATGCTAGTGCCTCAATGAAAAGATTGAGACATGGATATAGACAGATAAATACTGAGGATGTGGTATATGTACATTATTAATGTCAGTCTTGACTTTTATGTTTTAATAGTTTGGAGGATTGTGAGGAGGCTAGCTAGGCTGGTGAGTCTAACTAGTTGTCTCGGTGATGATTAGACCTTTTGTGTAGATGGGCCTTCTAGACCCATGAGGCTTCAACTCGTTTTGGTAGTTTGGAGGATTGTGAGGAGGCTAGCTAGGCTGGTGAGTCTAACTGGCTGTCTCGGTGATGATTAGACCTTTTGCGTAGATGGGCCTTCTAGACCCATGAGGCTTCAACTTAGAATACATGTAGGTAAATCATCTAGTATGGATTCAAACAATTCTAATTTATGTTGGATTCAAAGTTTGAACTTCTCCCTAATCTTATTAGATTATTGTTCAAATTACATTTAAAATTTGCTGAAGCCCTATTTGAACATGAAATCAACTCAATTTGAAACACAGTTAAATCACATTCAATTGTTATTCGGATGTGACATGAATATGATCACAATTTTGTTGGAACAAGATTTAAATCTTTATGGTTTGATACAAATTTTAAATACGCACACGGTATCAAATATAAAATTATCATGAGATAAGTAATGAACTTTTGGGCAACATTTCTCATATTTTACGTAGTAAATATAAAATTTTTCAGGAGGTGCGGTAACAATGATCAATCGCAAAAAAAAAAAAAAAAAAAAAAAAAAAAAAAAAAATGTAATGATTTTTTAAGTTCTAGTTGAAAAACAAATAAATTAAGTTCAGATATGATAGTTATTGCTTGGAATAAAAAAAAAAGGTTAATTTCTTAAGGCTTTAGGTTAGTTTAATTTAATAAATGTGAAGTTTTAAATGGTTTAGTAATAGTAGGATAAGAAAAAAGTGCTAGTTCTAGCATTTATCACTTCCTTTAAAGAGTCGTGTTTGACGGCTGATGCCAGATTTGGATTAGTTGCGCCGGAATTAGTAGGGTACACATTGCATAATCGACGCCGTGGTTGCGGTACCTTCGCTGCGTCCTATATTTCAGGTTTCTTTGAATTGCGATTAGATTTTGTTTGATGATAAAATGAGACACTATCTAGATTAAAGCTAGTTTTCTGAAACGCATCTTTGTCCATTTGCTGATTACATGTGCGAATAGTTTTGATAGTAGGTGAATTGAATTTGTTTTGGTACAAGATTGGCTTTTTGCTTCATATTCCTCTTCGTTTTAGTGCTTCTAAACTGTTTCTCATTGAAAATTAGTTTTGCTGCATTTCAGGTTCTTGTTATTTTAGGAAACCATAAAGTGAATTCACAAAATTGTATCTTTATGAGGTTGCTGAACTTTTCTCCAAGATTTAGTATATCTGTGTTCGTCCTTTCAGCTGTGGTGTTAGTAACCTTTTCGTCATATTTCATCGATGACAACATTTGGGGCACAAATCATAAGCTTGATCCTGCGTCTAGGGTTCCGAAGAAGGGCCCCGGCAAACCTCCGATATTTGCCTATTGGCTTTCTGGCACCCAGGGTGAGGGAAAGATGATTTTTCGGCTTCTGAAAGCCGTCTATCACCCAAGGAATCGTTACCTCTTGCATCTTGATGCTGGCTGCACTGCGCATGAGAGGAACGAATTGGCTAGATTGGTTCTTTCTGAGAGGATTTTTCAAGCTTTCTCAAATGTTGATGTAGTGGGCAAGGCTTATGCTGTTGATCGTAGTGGGTCTTCAGTGGTTGCTGCTACACTCCATGGAGCAGCAGTTTTGCTTAAAATTTGGGATGATTGGGATTGGTTCATCACTTTGAGTGCTTCTGATTATCCTGTTGTTACTCAGGATGGTATGAATTTAGTTCGCATTGGCATCATTTTAATACTGTTTACGGTTTCATGTTCTTGATTGAAATCTTCCACTCCATGAGTGCTTGGCCCAATTTACAGAAGCTAAGTGCTAATTTCTTGGTGAAATTATCTCCTTGAAACTTTTTTTCTTGTATGGTGTTTTGCAAGTTGATTGGCCTGTTTTCTTTTTAGTTCCTGAATCTGATTTGAATCCTACTCAACTTAAATTCTTTCTGAAATCATATAGAATGATTGGTGAAGTGTTGGTAGCTAGACCTTCTCCACCTATAGTACATTAAAAACCTGATTTCAGGTGGTGATGTTTTTTCCTGGTTACATAGTCTAGTTTCAACTTTCAAGTAAAAAACTACAGTGTGTGGTTGAACCTGCTGTTCTTATTCTTGGCATTTGATAAAATTTAAAATTTATTTCTTGTTTGAGGTTTTTGAGTTTTCTCACTATAAATTTGAATTTTTTATTTCATTTTTATTACTCGTTAAATTTTAAAACCAGTTCAGAATTTTGTTTTTTATCTTTCTAGATTTATTTTGGATCAAATAGATGTTACAATCAGTACAAGTATGCAATTCTATCAGTTTACCTTTTCTCTTCTTTTGAAAGAAATGTCAACTATGATTGAATGATAAGTAGTGACCCAAGAATGAAAAGCTAAGACTTGAAAAGTCAATTTGATGTTTATGTAAAATAATTTTCCGGTTAAATTTCTCTCAAATACTGAATTTTTTTCTTGAAGGCACACAACTTTTGTTCCTTCTAGAATTATCAGTTATATCAAAAGATTTTAGGCTGCAGCATGAGAAGCTACTCCATTTTATGTTGCTTCAGTCTGAATTAACAATAATTTTTTTTTATTTGCGAACTCCCCACTGAAATAAGTTCTGTATAGGAATTTCAATTATTATGCAGCAAATTTATTTTAAATAATGTGGATTTATTTTCCTTTGCTTTCAACAATGATAAGAAACATGATTTCTTTGCAGATCTGCTTTATGCGTTCACTTCATTGCCTAGGGATCTTAATTTCATCGATCACACAAGTGAGCTTGGGTGGAATGAGTAAGAAAATCCTATAAACTATATAATCTATTTTACAGTATATCTTCTTATAACTAATCTATTTTACAGTGCATCTTCTTTTTATGCAAATATATAGTGTTTGATTTGATGTATTATATATCGATCTGCCTTACCTTTTCTCATTGCCTTGGTGCAGGCCTGAAAGGTTTGGCAAAATAATTGTGGACCCAAATCTTTATATGAATAATAATATGAAGTACTTTTTGGCTTCAGAAACTCGGCCAACTCCTGCTGCTTTCAGAATATTCACAGGTTTGATTTTTTGCTTATTTTCAGGGTTTAATGAACCTTTTCTCCGAGTCTTGCTGGAAAGAACTCGGTTTAATTTGTTTGCGTATATATAATGATTCAGGAAATCTTTGAATTTAAGATTTTTTATGCAACTAAATGCTGTAATGATTGAAACACATGTAATTAAATTTTGAATTCACATTTATTGGCTATCAGTTAAAAAATCATTCACCTTTTTATTCAACCAAAGTTTTCATTGAATTTGCCTCATGTAAAATACACTAATAAAAAATGTAGAAATTTAGAGGAAAGTTTGAAACTACACAACAAAAATTTGGTTAGGATTCATATCATAACAAGTAATCCAGTTGTTGTTTTTCTGAGTAAAATGAACCAGACTAGCCAAATTAAGAAATCTTAGTCTCCACCAATCATCATCATCATTAGCCTTCTCTCAACTTTCAGTGGCCAGTATTATTAACCTTCATTTTTTATTCGTTTCTATTGAATTTGTTTGATGTGATCCTATTTTTTGTAAATCATTTTAAACTACTTTCAGTTCACCTCTTTTTTTTTCTTGATCCCGTGGCATTGATTTTATTGACTCATTTAATGGAAGCGTTTTCTACTCTTCGTTCAATGTATTCAAATCACCTAAGTGTATGTTCAATAGGTATGCACTTTCATAACACTTAAAGAACATACAATCTAGCCAGTATGCAATTTTGCTGAAATATGAGAACAGGTTTGCACTTCCATTACTTTCACACCAATATCCTGTCCATCTTGAACAAATCCTTTGATGTACCACTTCCTTTGCCCAAGTATGATTGTGTTTGGCAGCAGCAAATAAATGAATGTGTAAGAGAGAGGTGCCGGATTGTCAAAAATAAAGCATTTGTCATCTTCGATAACAAATGCTGCAGCTAATGTTTGTAGCTAATGTTTGTAGCAAAAGATGATGAAGTATCAGGGGAGAGACCACCCCCAAAGAAGAGAGGAGGGAAGATGAGAGAGCTTTAATCTTTAATTCATCAATTTAATGATTAATACAAGCCATTGGTATGCTATTTATAGAACTATTATTTAATATCAAAACAATTTGAATTCAATCAATTGTTATCTTACTTAATTTAAAGTTTAAATCAAAGGTCATTCAGAAGGATAATTTATTCTAATTCCAAACTAAATTAGATTTAAAATTCTTATAAACTTCAATAAGCCAGCACCATAACTCACAGCTAGCAAATATCAAATTACTTATTTTTGTTTAAGCAGAAGTGGCCATCCCGGCCATGGCAGGGAAACAAAGGGCCAAAACCATTCATACAAAATTTCTAGCTAAAATTAAAATATGTTCAAAACAGTGCGAAGTGATCTACATTTGATCAGCTTGTTTCGGTTTACTCGACTGACTGATTGTCAAGAAGTTTATAACTTCAAACATTTATATATTTATTTTATTTTATTTTTGAGTCATTTACTTTTTCTGATATTATATTCATTTCATTTCCCTGTATAAAACAGGTTCTCCATGGGTGATACTCAGCAGATCTTTCATGAAGCACTGTATTTACAGTTCAGATAATCTCCCAAGGAAACTTCTCATGTATTTTACCAATGTGGCTTATGCTGCTGAATCCTACTTCCAAACTGTAATCTGCAATTCTCCAGAGTTTCAGAACACCACTGTCAACAATGATCTCAGATACTTTGTGTGGGAAAATCCTCCTACTCTTGAACCACTTTTATTGAACCAATCCAATTATAAAGCAATGGTGAAGAGCGGAGCTGCTTTCGCTCGAAGATTTATGGAGAACGATCCCGTGCTGAAGAAGGTGGACGATTTGATTCTGAGACGAAAACCAAATGGTGTTGCCTTTGGTAAGTGGTATTTAGGACCGGATCCAAATTGCAAGGGATTAGGTTCGGATGTTGGCTCAATTTGTGGGGATATCGATGTGATTGAGCCCCGATCAACGGGGAAGAAACTGAGAAAACGGATAGCTAAGGTTATTTCAGATGAAAGGTTGGTTGCATGCAAATCAATGTAAAGTTTAGGAAGAATATATTTATGTATGTATCATAGTTATGTTATATTCATACAAAATGAGGAGGTGATGCTGATCTTGTTGCACGGCCTTGTATATATGAGGGGAGCATGAATAACCTTTGTAGTAAATAAACTTTGGGAGCAGTCTGCCTCCAGTGAAGTTAATTCATTTTGTTGGAAGGCTGTAGGAATGGAAACTTTGGCTAGTTGGTGCAATTATGAAATTTTAAAGCGTTTATTAGACCAAAAAAAATCCCTTTGGCAAACTCTAATGGTTAATTTTGTGCAACGTAGAATTTTCAAAAGAGAGATGGCATTTGCTCTGAAATGATGATGATAAGGTTTGGTTTTATAATTTTGGGTATATGGAAGGGGATGTGTGATGAAGCTGATCAAGGAAGGTACTATAATGTTTTTCATCTAGTGTCAACTTTAAGAGCGACAAGAAATGCTTAATTTGCTCATGTGAAAAAAGATGACCATCCACATTATTGCACTTAAAAGGTTTGCTTATAAAATGACTATGATTTTATGTCACTCATAAACCATCTATTAGTGAATAAAAAAAATTAGTATTTATTCAAGTGTTGAGCATTGTTGGGATTCCCTGGCCACGGAAATGTTAGGATGGAAATTCAAAGTTTGTAAGGAAGATTTATTTACATGCATACCTCTCAATTCTTGTGTATTTGCATATATAACACCTAAATTTTAATTTTTACACACACGCCATATTATCTAAATATGAAAAAAAAAGGTATATTTTATTTCTTATTTCTTAAAAGTTAAAATTATGATATTTTTTTATGAGATATGAAAAAATTGAGTGGCATAATTGTAAAAAAAGAAGCAGCAGCAAAATTCTATCTATTTGCGGTCTTTGAGTGGATAGGGAATTGGAAGGGAGAAGGAAGGATGGCTGTGTGGGTGAGGAGTGGAGGTTGTGGCGTGAGGCCGCCGCCTTGGCCGCCCGCAGTAGCAAAGAGAGCGCGGAAGAAGGGATGGGTAGGGGCGGTGTGCTGTTCCTTGCTTTCGAAGGCTGATGCGCAGCAACAACTGAGCCAGGTAGGGGAGATAGAGGAGTTCAGTATACCATCTAATCATTTTTTAACTTCAATTTTCTCCTATAAGGATGTAGAAGAAGTTCAGCTTTCATTTTTCTCATACTTTTTGGTCATTTATTTTCTTTCTGGTTTTGTATTTGTTCCTTTCTTTAGTTTCGCTATATTTTCTGTTTTTGATAGTTAGCTTCTTGGATCAATGGCTATTTGGAAAACATATTATCCTTTAGATGTTTTGATGAATGAGTGCGTGTACCCTAATTGTTTAAGACTTAACACGATTTGATCATCAACTTACATTAGTACTTTTAAGGTTGTGGTTTAAGCCACTGCTTTGTTCAGATTGAGCTTATCTGACACATCAATGACTTCAATTAACCCTTATCTTACCATAGTAGCTTCTTTTGGTTAGCATATAGTAGATTCATTTTCATCGAAGCTGTGTTAAAATTAACAATCTTTAACCATTTTAAAAAATGATTAATCATATATCTTGCTTATATCAAAGAACCATAGTTAAGGTTTGGACTCCTGAGATTAGGCCCAGTTGCACTTGGACAATTTTATTATCTATCTTATAATTCAACCCACCAAGATCTAAGGGACACTTGATCCAATGCTCTATGACCAATTCAATCTTGATTAATGTTAGTTCAATTTTTTATCATTTGAGAGAATTGAGCTTAAGCCAAATCGGGCTTCTTTTTTGTTTCAATTGAATCTCAATGTTCTAACATGTCCTTGTACGGTTCATTAAACCTTATTTTGAAGTATTTTAGTTTATTTCAGTTGTGTTTGCCGAAGTTGAGCTCAACTCATGTAATTAGGGCTTGATCAAACTTAATCACTTTTCTACCTCTATCTCATGGATATCATTTAAGCTTAATTTCACTTGGGTATGGTCAATTAATTTTAAACCTCATAGGTAGCTTTCCTCATTTTAGATCATACTTAAGCCTAACCTAACTTAACGTCAATAGACTAAAATGGATTTAGCTTAGAGGATAAATATCCAACCTAAATGAACTGGACACTCCAAATAGACGAGTAGATGAAATTTGCTTGGGTTTAACTATGTTTAGCTGAGCAAGCACAATTACATGGGCACAACTCTATCTAACTAAATAGAAGCAATTCATTTAGGTTTAGTTCTCTCTATTTATGTTAGCGACTTAATATTATAATCATGTTAATTCCTCTTTGATTGGTTGGCTAGAAGCCATTTCTTGTAGCTCACTAATGATGGTAACATTACTCATGGTTTGCTATTACCACCATCTTGGTGTTTTTAGACAACTCTCCAATAACCATAAAAAAATGTTGAAACCCTTCATCCTAGTGGATAGCATTATGTAGTAATGTTAGATATAGGATAAAGATTTTTTTTACTCTTTAACGAAGGGAGTTGTCCCTAGGTTTATAGTTCCCAGGGGTCATTGCTATTTATGGCCATCTCTCTCTCTTTCCCCTTTTTTCTCTCTATGATGGTGAGGTGTTCTTTTCAAGGTTTATAGTGCCTTGAGTTTAATCTACGAGCTTTAAGATTCTCCAGTACATATAATACATTGAGGTCTCAGCCTCTTGCCTCTAGTCCATATCACTACCACTCTTACTTGTTAACACTATAGGCAGGGGTGAAAAGGCTTATAATAAGTTGACTTTACCCTCGGGTGTTGTGATTAGGTTGCTTGAAGTCAATGTGAACTCTTAGAGTAGAAAATGATATTAGATTTAACTCAAAAAGCAAATGTTACTACTAAAAGTAAATCAGTGATTACAACCAAACACACTTAAAAGGGAAATATAATAGCAGACACAAGCAAACACCACTAATGTGTTTTTCAAGGATGGTGGAAGTTGGCTAGGTGGATCAGAATGACTGGCGGGTGTGGCGGCAGCAAAAGAATGCTGATAGCAACGAGGGGAAGGTGCAAAAATGCAGGGGTAGAAAGTACGGTTGCTGTCTTGGATGGTGGTAGCGAGGAGTTAGGGTGGGTAGTGGTGGAACAGTCGGAATGCGGTGTTCCTTAATTGTTCTGGGTGGCAGAGGCAAGGTGAGAGGGCTGGAACCTCAAGAACAAGGCTGGAAAGGAGTGGTGTGGGCGGAAACAATGCAAGAATGGAAGTGGGAAGCGGCTGGGAGGCTACACGAATATTGTGACAACGACAACAGAGGGAAAGTTGCAGAGGAGTGAGAATGTAGAGGATAATCATCACCTTGGGCGAGATACAGTTGCAACACCAGTCGTTGTTGGATATAACCTATAAGGGAAAAATTTGGACGTTGATGACCATCCTAACAGATAACATGAAAATTGCTCACCTAATACTAGATAACAACATATATAAACCTATGATAACTAAGAAGTGGGTTCAATAGGGTGGAAAACACTGCCTTGTAAGAACGAAGACTGATCTTCCCTCAATCTATTGGGATCAAACAGTGTGCGATCGCATTTGGCTCATTTTCACACGAAATGCAAGTTCCACATCACACATGGGATGTCCCGCGCCAGTCTCCTGTGGTTGAGAGAGCTTCACCCTCATATGTTGAAGCTTCTGTCTGAACGTTGAAGGTGACAAAACTACTATAACATCATGGGGTTTAAGGGCCTTCAACTGCGTTGATAAGAGCACCATGACCCCATTGACCCAAAACACCTAAGAAATTTTCCCTACTTGCGAGTAACCATCTGTATCGTCCAAGCATTTGGGGATACACCACCGGATGAAATTGGGATCTCTTGCCAAATATACTCTGCAGGGTCTTCCAAAGGTAGCTCCAGGTTGGCTCTTCCTTATCTGGCACGAGGACAAACTAAAATCCTACTAATGATGACGGCTATAGAGGTAAACTATCAAACATGATGTTCTGACGTGCTTTCTGTGGTGACTAGCCTGTATTTGGAGTCAGCGCCTCTGTCGTGCTTTCCTTTATCATCACTAAAATAGATCCTACTGCCACTTCTTTGCTGGCAATGACACCTGTAATCTTAGACTTTGCAGAGGGTAGGACTATGCGCTTGCCATCCTTGGTGAAGGAGTGGGTATTCCTGAACCCATCATGCTGAGTTCAAGATCCAATTTCCTTAGTCTCCCTAATAAATAGTGGTAGGTATCCTTGGATACCACTTCACACCAAATCTAATCCTATAGCTGGTTCCCAATCAAAAACTCCATGAGACAACTATCAATTTTGATTCTGTTCTTCTTCTTCAACCATGTCAGGGAGTATGCTGGGACTATCTTTGAGTTGTGAGGCTCAACTTGTCCTCCATCGGTGTAGATGCCACATTCTTGTTGCTCCTTCCATCGATAATGAAATTGCATATATTTCATTTCACAGTGCAGCTAGTGTAAAATATATTATGGCGAAGCCACTGCTTATATCTCCTAACCTTAGTTTGTATGACCCATTGAACCCCAAACATTTCGCCATCATCCAGTGGAAGATGGTACTCTTCACCTTTTTCTCCAGCTACCTCTTCGTCGCTAACTTTCTCTGCTACACCATGCTCGGTAAAGGACAAAACTTGGCTCGTCGGGCAATTGGATGTAATGTGTTCAAATCCATGACATCTGAAGTATTTTTGGCTGAGACTGTAGTGGGTGTGCTACTCTTATCAGACTTCTTCTCACTCTGAGTGGCTCTGTCTTTTCTTGAGCAGTCTTCTTAATTTTTTGAGGTGTGCTTTTACTGATGCTTCTAACTGTGGGTGATTCTCTAGATGACGGTAGGTGCCTACTCTGCTTTTGCTGTATCTCTGCCTTCACTACCAAGGTCTGAATGTCACCTAATGACCAAGAAGGTTATAATTGGATCACGTTATCGATGGTGGGCTTCAAGCCTCACAAGTACTTGACGATCACGTGCTTCTCTGGCTTCATCATATCATATTTCAACTTAAGCTACATAATCTATGTTGTGTACTCCTCCACTAATAGGTCCCTCTGTTGTAGATAATGAAATCTTGAAAAAAGAACAATCTCCATTTCTGTAGTGTGGGGGTAGTTATTATCGCTGCAACTTTATCTTCATCTTCTCCCAGG